TAAATAATGGAATTATCCTGTTTACAATCTTTCTAGAGATCTGAAAATACTACTAATCCTTCTTGTGAAAGGGCTATGAAAAGCTCTCTGATCAAGACAGATTTTGATAGAGAAGAAGAGTGTTACCTTAGAATTACTAGAATGTTACTAGAATGTTAGGTAGAGGGAAGTGAAGGGAGAGGAGGGGAGGTGATGTGGGAATAGGAAAGAGGTAGAATTAAACAGACATTATTACTTTATGTATATATGTGACTACATGACCAACATGATTCTGCAACATGTACACTCAGAAAAATGAGAAATTATATCCCACCTATGTATGATACATCAGAGTGCATAAATATGTTCTACTGTCATGCATAACTAATTAAAACAAAAAAATTAAAGACAGATTTTGAAAAATAGTTCCTTGGCCATGTTTTTGCATTAGGAATAGATAAATTGGTGATCCAAATAGAATGAATGCTCAGTCTCTTAAAGATGCTCTAACAATATCTAGCAGCAAGATTTTTTTTTCTATAGGGAAAACAAACAAACAAACAGAATCTCAAGATGTGGACTTTTGAGTATTATTTAAAAGGTACTGAAAAGTCCAAGCAAAAATTAGATTTTACCAGACTCCAGGAGCAGCAAGTTGAATCAGCACTTATCTAATAAGAATCCATATGCAAAAAATTCTTGAGGTCCTATCTCAGGACACAAAAAACAAAGTAGTTCAGTGCATCACAGTGGGGTCAGAAGCACAGGCAGTCTGCAAGAGGACCTGCTTTTTACTCCCAGTGTTACCCATGAGCAGTTGTGTGATCTCAGGCAAGTAACTTAACACTCTTAAGTCTCAGTTTCCTCATCTGCAAAATGGGAATACCAATAATTATAGTACCCCACACTCATCCTCTTAGACGTGGTTGTCAGGGTTATTGGAGCTACTGGATATCAACTTTCATATCACCCTTTCTGGTACATAGTGAGCCCTGATGTGCACTAATGATTATTACTATTGGTTTTTCTACTACTTTTATTATAAACCAGGGATTTTCTTTAATGTCAATATATTCAGGAAGGTCAAGAAGAGCTTTTCTGGGGGAAGAGAGGGAAGGAGGTTGTTGTACTAGAATGTTAAATGTGTGGATTTAAATTCTTCATGCCCTTGAAGTCCTTTACCTGATATTAAACCTTCTCGCTCCTGTTCCCAAGTTCCCATAGCAGCTATTTCCCCCACACATACTTTGTCAGCTTGTTATATCCTGTCTTAGAGTTTCCTTAATCTTTTCATATGCACAATCTTCACCTCACAACCAGACTATAAATTTATCCTGGGTTCACTTCACACCATCTTTTTTTTTTTTTAACCTCTCAGAATTCAACACACTGTACTCATGAGCCACATAATGACATTTAAGTCAAGGGACTGTATTTATGATGGTGCGGTGGTCCCCTAAGATAACATCTCTTGTGACACCACAGCCCTTCTAGTCTGTGTGGGTTCTCTCTATGATGTGCACACAATGGTGAAACTGCAAAATGCAGTTTCAGAACATACCTCTATCACAAAGTGACAAAGGGCTGTATATACGGTGGATACATAAGTGAGTGTGAGAATGTGTATGTTACATTACTCTTAGCCCTTTTGTCCTTCTTCCTTCTCCTGATAATAGCAATGAGACTTGCTGAACTAATGATAAAATCTCTGGTTATTGAGTGAGTGCTTCCTGTGCCTGGCACTGAACTCAACATTTAAAGGCCTTGTCTTGCTGGAGCTCAGGAACCTGTGCATTTGAATGGTTGCTGAGAGAATTGTGAAGAGAGCAGGGAAACTCAGGGATGCTTTGCATGGCCCTGGTGACTCAGTCAAGTTTGGAATACCTTGAGACAGCTCTGATGAGTTTTGTCCTTGAAGTGGAGATACCAACCTCCATTGCTTTCTTCAACACAATCCAGTTAGTGGCTTTAATACTCTTATTATCAAAGTTTCCCAGAGCAAAGATTTGTGTTTACGTGGGTAGGTGGGGGTAGTGTCTCAAAAGAGATTCTTAAGGAAAAGGGCTTCTGCCTTGTGGGGGGGCAGTTTGAAAGCTTCCTCCTGGTGTTTTTGATATGTCCTTTTAAGTAGACCATAACCTACATTAAGAAAGCATATACATATATCACATACACATCTCAAGGGGTTTTCTGTAGCAATCCACATGTTTTGGCCAAGGAGGCCCACTGATGTTTTTCCATTCTATTTCATTCTTTAATTAAAAATGATGGTTGTGACAAGAAAAATGGAATTCTGTCATTTATAGCAACATGAGTGGAACTGGAGGACATTATGTTAACTGAAGTAAGTCAGGCACAGAAAGGCAAGTACTGCATGATCTTATTGATGTGTGGAAGCCAAAAAAAAAATTGATCTCAAAGAAGTAGAGAATAGAATAGAATAGTTACCAGAGGCAGGAAAGGGTGTGGGGGCAAAGGGGATGGGAAGTGGATGGTTAGCAGGTAAAGGGGGCAGTTAGATAGGAAGAATGATTTCTAATGTTCTGTAGCACAGCAGGATAACTATGGTTGACAACAATTAATTGATGGTTTCAAATAGCTTATAGAGAGGATACTGAATGTCCCCAACACAGAGAAGCAGTAAATGTCTGAGGTGATGGATGTACCAAGGAGCTGGGTCTAATCATTATACAGAGTCTACGTGCATTGAAATGCCATACTGTACTCCCCAAATCCACACGATTACTAAGTGTCAATTAAAAATAAAAATATTACAAAACTAAAAACAAAGCAAATAAATATAAATTATCATTGTGAGAATGTGGAGAAATTGGAGCCCTGATACTGTATACTGTTCGTGGGAACATAAAATGGTCCAGTCTCTAGAAAACAGCTTGACAGTTCAAGGACATTAAGTACGCTCATAATTTTGTGCCAACACCACGACTATCACCAAAAACTGTTTCAAGATCTTAATTACAGAGTTAGCCAATGCCATAGAAATTTCATTCCTAGTTATATACATCCAAGAGACATGAAAACATATAATCTATACAAAAACTTGAATATGAATGTTCATAGCAACATTATTCATAGTAGCCAAAAATGCTAACAACTGAATCTCATAACTGACAAACAAATAAGCACAATGTGATATATCCATACAATGGAATATTATTTAGCAATAAAAACATATATATGCTATAACCTGAATAAGTCCTGATAATATTACACTAAGTGAAAGAAGTCAGTCATGGAAGACCACACAATGTATGATCTCATTTATATGAGTACTTCACAATAGGCAAATCTATAGAGACCTAAAGCATTTGTGTCTAGGGCTGGGAGGGAAGTTGAAAGAACTAGGGAGTGATGAAAATGTCCTAAAACCAGAATGTGGCGATGGCTGCAAACTCTGTAATAGACCAAAACCCTTTGAATGATACATTCCAAAGGGTGAATGAATATATGGCATAAGAATTGTATCTCAGTACAGTTGTTGAAAATGATGGTTGTGATCCAATGAACTGGTTTCACCACCCCAGATGGACCACAGCACAGCTGAAAACTGTTTTGGAGCAAGCTGTCCTCTCCTGTGCCCCTGTCCTGTCCTCTTCATGAGAATCACACCTGCCTGGAAATTGAGGGAGACTGCAGTCTCTGGGGGAGGGTAGACAGACAGATGGAGGGGGCTGAGCGTGTGGGAGAGGGGTGAAAGCCACCTGTGCCACCATACCCATCATCTTGCTCCACAGTTAACGAATCTCCATTGCATTTTCAGCAGCCCAGGCCTGGCTAAGACACTCCATTTCTCAGCCTTCCTAACAGTTTCAGGGCCAATGAGAACAGAAACCCCTGGTGAGGTTTCTGGGAGAGATTTTTACCTCCAACTTTAAGAATTGTGCTAAAACATATATAATATAAAAAGCGATCATCTTAACCATTTTTAAGTGTACAGTTCAAGGGTATTAAATACACTTATAATATTGTGCCAACACCAGGACCATCACCAGAACTTTTCATCTTGCAAATATGAAACTTTGTACCCATTAAATAATAACTTTCCTTTCCTCTCTCCCCAGCCCTCACACACAGTCTTCCACTGGCTGCCTCTATGGTTTTGACTACTCCAAGTACATGAACTAAGTGGAGTCATGCAGTATTTTTTCTGACTTATTTCACTTAGTATGATGTTCTCAGGGTTCATTCACATGGCAGAATTTCCTTCCTCTTTAAGGTTGAGTAATAGTCCATTGTATGCATCTCCCACATTTGGTTTATCCAAATGTTGATGGATACTTGAGGTGCTCAAACCTTTTAACTCTTGTGACTAATTTTGTTATGAATATATATGTACAAATATCTCTTCTAGCTCCTGCTTTCAATCCTTTTGGATATATACCCCAAAGTGGAATTACTGGATCATATGGTAATTCTGTTTTTAAGTTTTTGAGGAACTGCCGTAGAGTGGCTGCACAATTTCACATACCCTCTGATAGTGCACAGGGGTTCCAGATTCTCCATATCCTCCTCAGTGCCTGTTATTTTATTTTTTAAACAGTATCCATCCCAACAGGTGTGTCAGGGAGAGATTCTTGGGTGTGAGGAAGTGACTCAGTGGTTGTTTTTCCCTTTTGCCCTTATTTATTTTTTTTACTTCCTGCCTTGAATTTGAACATGATATCTTAGTCCCCAGAAGCCATCTGGGGTGGAATTGGCACAAGGCAGGTGAAGGAAAGGTCAGAGGAGACTGGGTCCCAGTCACCTTGGTGGCTCACTTTTGGGCTGAATCCCTGATTTGCTTGAGCCACTAAGCTGAGCCTCTGGGATTAGCAACTGACAAAACTTCTAAACAACATGCCACCCAAATGACCCAAAGCTCTTCTCTGTTGGATTAGGAGCTGACGCTAGGCCCTTCCAGAAATAGCAGCTATTCTCCCACCCAGGCCTCCCCCATCCCCTGCCTTCTGGGACACTTCTCCCCAAGCCCTATTTCCATAGGGAATTGAAGTGTCACCTACCTTGTGATTTTAAATATCCTCAGTAGCCGGACGCATCTCAGCACAGAGATGCCCAAGGGAGACATGATCTTGGTCTCCACTAGGATGGTCTCCAGGATGCCCCCACACACGATGAAGCAGTCAAAGCGATTGAAGAGGGACACGAAGTAGGCCTGCAGGCCCAGGCTGTACATCTTCAGGAGCATCTCTGCGGTGAAAAGGGCCAGTAGGGCCTTATTGGCTGTGTCTGGCAGTTTCCAGGAGAGAAGTGGGGTCCAAGCAAGTAGGTGAGAGGGGAGCAGAGAGGGAAGAGGAGAAAGAAAACAGTAATTATCACGTCTGGAGAAAAAAGGCCCAGCATCCCTCCCTCCCATGACACTTCTTCCATCCACTCCTTCCAGAACAAACAATTAGGGCCAATCCAACAGGAAAGGGATATCTAATTAAATCATAATAAACATTTATTGAGCATCTACCATGCATCAAAGGCTTTGCATGCATTATCCTGTTTACCCTTCACAAAAATTCTGTGAGGTTTGGAATTATTATAGTCGAGCCCATTTTCTAAAGATGAGGAAAAAAGGTTCAGAGACCAGTAATCTGCCCAAGTCAACCAGGCAAAAGTTGAAACCAGGCTGTCTGAGTCTGATCTTTGAACCACTAGACTAATTGCCTGCAGGATTCTGGAATGCATCCCCCTCCCTGGGATTGATGCTGCCTGGTGGACTCCCTTCTAGTGGTCCAAAACAGGGTGATGGGTCTTAACCAGTCTTTGGGGATAGTTCCTTGGGTTCAGGTACTATTTTTCTCATCCAGTTTTTTCTTGGCTCATCTCATCCTGATGTATTCAGGGTAAGGCCACCTAGAGGTTTTAGTAAGGCCTGTTGAATCAAAACTCACTCTGGGAAGTTGGCAGCCCAGGGTCTCAGAGCATTTTTATCACCCAAGCCCAGCAGTGACTGTGGGGGCAGGCAGATGGTATGCCCCCAGTCAGGTGAGCTATGTCTGTTTATAAACAGGTTGTGCCTTTGACCGTGTGGCATGTGAGCTGCCAGGCCTTGGTGTCTCCAGCAGGGCACCTGCCAAGAGCCACATCCATTGGCAGCTTGCCTGTGATTACCTCAGGACCCAGGGCTGAGATAGCAAGAGTTGATGGGGACAGAGCCAGGGGTTGTTGCTCACCTTGCACTTCGGTGAGCCAGTGGGGCTGGTTGTAATGTTCCGAGGCGATGGTGAGCGTGTTGAGGAACACCAGGAAGATCACGAGCCAATAGAAGATATTAGACTTGACTGCGGCACGGCACTTTCTTCTGCAGAACCGATTCCATCTGCGCCAGTAGCGGCTGGAAAGGGGGCAGGGAGAGGATGGGGCTGGCTGTAAAATGCAGATTTCTGCCCCCGTGAAGCATGCCACATGGCTTCTGTTCACTCTTAGCTGACAGGGTCTTACTAGAGCACAGCAGCCTGGTGGCAAGGAGACAAGATCTCCATCAAGTTCACTGGGCTCACTGCTTAGTTGTGAGACCTTGAGTATGCCCCTGAACTTCTCTGAGTTTTGGTTTCTCATCTGTGAGATGGGAACAGAGCCAACCTCACAGTGCTGCTGTGGGGATGGATAAAAATGCCACGTAAGGCATCTGGCACAAAGCTGAGGTGCTCCATAAATCAAAGTGTCTTTGTTTTCTAATAATGGCATTATTAGAAATAGTATTGCAAATATCAAGAAGAATTAGTAATAATGGTGGTGATAGTGATAGGACTAATAATGGTTACCAGTAATGAAACCTCTGATATGCCTAGTACTGTCTTAGTACTTCTCAAGACTTCTCTGCAATTCTTTAAATAACTCTGCAGAGCAGGCATTATTCTTCTATTGCAGAAGAGAAAACTATGGGCCATGGGAGTTAAGCAGCTTGACCAGTGTTCTAGGAGCAAGAGCCAGGCTTGGCCTCCCTCCAGCCTGATCTCATGCCCCTTACTTTATGTAGCCTTACCATTCAGAACAAGGTTTAATCTGCATCAGAGGATCTTTGCTTTTATGGAGTCAGGGAATTTTGTGAGAATCTGATGAATATTTAGATCCTCTGTTTGCAAAATTGGGCACACCCCACAGGAACACACATTTACATAAAAGTTCATGCAGTACACAGATACCCTTGTCCACATAGTATTCCTAGTCTCTTGATTAGGGAACTTTGTCAGTGATTCTCAAACCTGGCTATACCCAGGGTTACCTTGGGAAGCTTTAAAAACTACCTGAAACCCTTCCCCCTGACCCCAACAACAACAACAAAAAATTCAATCTGATTTTCTGGGGGCTAGGTATTTTAAAATAGCCCCCAAATTCCACTGGTATTTTTACATGTTCTCCAGCTGGTTCTAACATGTAATATGATTGAGAAGCATGAAGTTGGATGATCCCGAAAACACATTCACATTTATGATTCTGTGACAACCTGTTTTTAGTTTCAACCTCTTCATGCAGTGAAAACATAGCTACATGGCTAACACAGTAGGTGATACAGTTAATAAATACCTACACTGACCCAGGAGAGAAGGCAGGGGATGCTGAAGAGGTGTTAGGAGGGAGACTGCAGAGAGCCACTCGGAGGGCTTCAGGGAACAGCATGCTTGGGTTTGATTTCAGAAAACCAAACGTCCGACAGACACAACCACACTGTTAACTTCTTCAGGGATGGTGTGAGGGATGCTCTTTTAATTGTCTGGGTTGGAGGTGATGGATGTAGAAGCTTTATTAAGGAAAAGACACTGAGCTGACAGTAGCATTGAGAGTAATATCAACAGGACTTGGAGATGACTGGCGTTCAAGGTGGGAGAAAGGGATGATGAAACTTTTAGCTGGGATGATATGGGTGAGTGGCGCCCTTATCCAATAGAGGGCCAGAGGAGGAGGAGTGCTCTGGGCCAGGAGGTCAGCTATGAGAAGGGTGGGGTGCTCAGCTAGGGACATGGGCTTGGTGTTTGCTGGGCATGTATGTAGACAGGCCACCAGGCAGGTTGAGAGCTTCTGCTTTGGAACTCAAAAAAGCATAATTTTGGAGTCTACCCATTGAATATCTATAAAAATAACTTTCATTTTCTAGTGTCCCTGGTCTAGGCTGACATTCCTCTAAATAAACATGCCATGGAGCAGAGATTTTCAAATCTCATACTGAAGGCCATTATTGAGCCATGAAAGTTATCTAGTTGGTCATGACTAGCACTGAGAAAAGGAACCAAATAGAAAATATTCTGATACATACCATATCATAAGAAAATTTTAAAATAAACAGTAAGGAAAAAGTTTAAATAAAACTTTCAGTTTTTGTGTGTGTGTGTGTGAGAGAGAGAGAGAGAGAGAGAGAGAGAGAGAGAGTGTGTGTGTGTGTGTGTGTTACTGGGACAGGCTATAAAAACTCACCTTAATAAAACTGAATTACAGTCCTGTATTCTAAATCAGAGTCCACAGCATGAGTCCATATCACCAGTCTGGACAGAGATGATCAAGCATCTCAGAGTCATTTTCTCCATGGAGTTGTTATGATGGAGCATCACAGGTCACTTGTGTGAAAAAGCTGCCCTGCAAATGGCATGTCTCATAGCAGCCCCCTGGGTCATGCAGCATCATGTGCAAGTGTGCCTGAAGTGGGCAAGGGACTGTTATGTGTGCTACATGTTGTGCCCTTCCAGCTTTAGGACGTAAGCCCCTTCAAACCTTGCCCAACTCCAGGATGTCAGAGACAACTCACATTCAGAGGCTCTGGGGATATTGACGTCTGTTCTAATAGATCCTTCCATTCATACCTTAAACTCCCTTTGGGGATTGCTTGTCTTCATCTATGTTTCTAACTCTGTCATTTGTCTACCTACTATCTGCAGAAAATCCTGTTACCAAGCTTTTGCTAAAATTTGTTACAGATTAGATGAATATAGTTTGGGCCCAGGGGAGGGAGGGAAGAATTAACCAGGGTGGTTGAACGCCATCTCCAGTGAGCACGCAGGCTGGCAGGTAAGGGGGCACTTACCTGCTACACTAGAGAAATGCAATACCTTGAGAAAATTAGCTTCTAGTGCATTTGGGGATGATTGCAACCTCCAGACCAACCACCTTGGATACGAGTTAGGATAGAGAGGGACAAAGGTATGGGACAATGAGTTCCAGATAGTCTTAGAGAAGGGTGAGTTTCACTGTTATTTGCCAGATTTTTTTTGAGGGGGGGATACTGAAGATTGACCTCAGGGGCACTCAAGCACTGAGCCACATCCCCAGCCCTATTTTGTATTTCATTTAGAGACGGGTCTCACTGAGTTGCTTAGCAGCTCGCTTTTGCTGAGGCTGGCTTTGAACTCATGATCCTCCTGCCTCAGCCTCTTGAGCCACTGGAATTACAGGTGTGTACCACTGCGTCCAGCTTCTGCCAGATTTTGATACTGAGAAGTCCTATCATGCCAGGGCAAAGTTCTGCTTCTTTTTGCATTTGTACTTATTATAAATAAAGTTGATAATATATTTTTCTTATAAAATAAGTTTGGGGGACAAAGTCATATTTGATCTTAAATAGCTTACATTATATTTGCAAAGATATGTTTTAAATAGACACACTCTCATAATACAGAACTCAGAGATAATTGTTATTCAGAATCCAAACCAATCAAGGTTGCTTTCTTTTATAGTATGTAGAAACTGATTTGGAGTCAGTTTAATACCAGGAACTTGACCAAACCCCTCTTTTCTCCAGCTTGTGGGTAGCAGCTGTGGGGTGTTATAAGGTCAGACTTGTCACGTGGATCTGGAACTACTTTGCCCCCAGTCCCACTAAATCAGGCTGCTCCTGCGCAGAGCTGTTCAGGAGAGTCACGTGGGTTGGGGCTGGGGTGGGGGTGGGGGTAATTATTATCCAGAGAAAGTATTTAAAGATAATTATACACCTCCCACTCTTCAAAATATAGCTTTGCTTGACAACTGGTTTCCTGGCAACACTTCTTACTGTATAATAAATGTAATGGTTTATTAGAATGTGTAAATTTATTTGTGTGTTTACATATGCATGGAGGATATATAAATTAAATGATAAAACAGGGAGGAGAAATTTGCCTGCTATTCATGTTCCTTTTGCATTAACTTGAAGTCATTTAGTCTAGAAATAGAAGCTTCCATATGTAGACACAGGAGAAAAGGATGGATGAGAACATGTTGAATCTACTTCTCTAGACATCTGTATCGCTGCACTCTGCTCCCTTGCCCCTGGCTTACCTTGCCTTCTCCCAGTACTGGGCCTCGCTCCTGCCTCTCCAACTACATAGAACACTCTCCTAATGACTAGGGCCTCCACCTGCTATCTCCATCCTCTAGGTCCTGCCCATCCTGTAAGGTTCAACTTGAGACTTAGCTTCTCCATGATGAACTTTCCTAGTCTTCCCAGCCTGGCCACCCCTGTATCACTTGTCTGCCTCACTTTGTCCAAGAAACATTTATTAAACACTTACTAAGGATTAGTGAATAATCAATAGTTAATACAATAAAATAGTCCTCATCTGCATGAAGCCCATGCAGGGGACAGAGGAATGAGGAGCAACACAGCATGCTACATGCTGGGAACTCTGCAAACATGCCACCAGAGCACATAAAACACATCTTAGCCAGCCATGGAGGATCCAGGAGAAGTTTTCCAGAGGAAATAACTTGTCATGAATTTGTATCGTCAGTTAGTTTTTATTTGTATGGTTCTTGCCTATCCAATGAGATTATAAGACCCATAAGGGGAAGGGACTGTGCCTTATACTTTGTTACAGACACACAGTACTTAGCACAATCTGTCCCACATAGAGGGACATTCAGCTGACAGACTGCATGAGCTACAGAGACAAACAACATAGATCTACTAACTCCCCGAGGAGGATAAGGCTTAAGATCCCTGAGCCCCTGTGACCCAGGAAACAGGGTGGGGTGAGGAGAGTTTCTCAGCCTGTAACTGCTGACAGGCATCTAGAAGAGCAGATGACAGGAAAATAATGAGTATGTCAGGCTCTCTCAAGTGGCCAGAGTAAGTTTCCATCTTTTTTTTTTTTTAAATCAGAATGAAGAATGGATAGCAGAGGAAATCATTAATTTGAATTCTTTTATGAGCAAATAACTTAAAAATGGACAAAGATTGGGGCAAATATGGGTTTGTGCCTTGTTGGTTACGGCATGACAAGAAGTACAGGGAACTCTGGGGACAAGGCAACACAGTCCTCCAATGTTAAAAACCCATGAGATTCACTTCAAAATTCTGCATAGTTGAGGTCCAAAAACTCCAACAGGTCATCTGATGCACACCCCCAGGTTGCAAAAGACTCTCTGAATCGTACGTTCCAGGTCTGTTTGCATCCTATGCTGAACTCTTGGCCCCACATGTTGCTCATTTTTTATTTTATCTAATTCCTTTCAGTGGAAACCTGGATTACCAAAGCAATACCCTAGAATTGTTTTAATACCATAAGTCTGCTAATTTGCCAATTTCCCCCTAAAAGCCCAGTTCTAATAATTCTTTTAAATAAACTGTGACTTTGTTAGACTTTGTATCATTCAGTCTTGCACATGAAACAGGCCAGTTTGAGGTTTAAGATTTATGTTACTGTTAAACTGCCCCACCTAACTGAGGGAACAACTTGGGACACTGATAATCTTGGAGGCACTTCCAATCTATTGCCGGCCTCTGATATTCCCCAACCAGGCACCACCAACAAGAGGCTTCAGAACCTGAATTAGATGGTTTCCCTTTGATATCTACTCAGAACTTCCAGGGTCACATTGTCGGGGGCAGCAGCTTCTAGCAACATGTGGCTTTTGTGTACTTGAAATGTGGCCAATACAAACAGAGAAGTGTAGTAAATGTAAAATACACACTGGATTTCAAAGGCTTAGCATAAAAAAAAAAAAAAAGAAATGTAAACTTTCTTACTAAAAATGTGTCGTACTAATTACATGTTGAAATAATAATGTTTTAGATACACCACTGGTTTAAATAAAAGGTATTAAGACTAATTCCTCCTGTTTCTTCATACTTTTAAACATGGCTACTACAAAAACATTTTTAAATCTCCTATGTGCCTTGCCTTATCACTCCCCTAGCACAATCCACTTTATGCCCAGGGTACAATAAGGTGTATGGGGACAGGGTTTAGTATTATTGGGCAGACTTGATGAGCAGGATGGCACAGAGACTAGCAGCAGGGCTCCTGACTCAGAACTCATGTGGCTATACGTGAGCTGTGTGACCCTGGGCCCCTCTAAGCTTCAGGGTCCTTATCTGCAGGTAGGTTTAATGACTGTACCAAACTATCAGTAATAGGCCAGTTGGGAATATGGAGTCCTTTCTCTGCACTTCATTGTGTTGAGAGTGTGGTTACAGAGGGAGAAATCCTTCAGGGATCAGGGCCCACTGGCTGGTAGAAAGCAGATTGAGAAAAGCCTCAAAGTGGAGTAGAGATTCCCTTTTTTTAAAAAGCATATATTACATGATAAATCATTGGATTAACAAAATGGTTCCCAGAGTGTCCACTGAGGATGTAACTGAAGTATGTAACTTTCTCTTATCCTCCAGAGCACATTCATTCATTCATTATCCACTCATTCATTCATTTACATGTAATAAGAATGAAATTTTGGAAATATTTTATAGCCCTTTACTTTATTGTGTGGGGGCTTTGGAACTGTTAAGAGCAAAACATGCTTCTCAGCTTTGGCTGTCAAATTAGATATTTTGTTTGAAAGTGTGTCCAGTCTCTTGTCTTACTTAGGCATAATTCATTTATTCACTCAGCATAGATTTATTAGGTCCTTATTATGTATCAGAAATTTCTCCTCATGCTGGAGATAAAGCGAGAAAAATTCATGCATTATTGAGAAAGGATATTTCAAAAATGTTTTAGAGCTCTCCTTCATGTAATAAGAGCCAGATCCAATAGAGCTGACCTTAGATTTCTACATAAAGGAGTTTTTAGAGAAAGAGGGAGAGGAGGAAAACCTGCATTTCCCAGTCTCAGTAGCATATGGGAGAAACAAGGTATCAGAAAGGGGAGAGGGAGTCTGACACCAGAGTCCTCATTAAATCTTAGCCCTTGGGCACTGAGCCCCAGAGAGTTAAAGAGACTTGCTTTAGAAACACTAGAAAGCCATCAGGGAGGCCCAGGGTCACTGGGGCTGGTGGGTAGGCTCTTCAGGGAGAATGTCAGCCTTTGACTCAGAGCTCAATCTGACTGGGACTCAGCTGTGTGGAGGACCTGCTTTAGTGCTCCTGGCTCCCCATAGGACATTCATGGAGTGTGAGTGACCTGGAAGTATCCATGTGCTCAGATGAGGTGTGAAGGTGCTTAAAGTCAGTGGACCAATCGAGTTAGGCATCAAAGAGCAGATGTGGAGACTTTAAGACTGGATGCAAGGGGATGGGGCGTGGCCTCTACAGGTGGATGCCCAAACCAGATGGACCTGCTGAACCTCAGCGGGTGCCAGCTTAGAGCAGCTCAGACTAGCCTTATGAAGCAGAGCAAGCAAGAACCCAGAGGACTCCTGAGGAGTCCTCACCAAGACCTGTCTCTAGGATCTGGAATCCTCTTCTCCCCATGCATCTATATTGGCTCTAGAAAGGAGCTGAACCAAAGGAAATCTAAGTGACTACAGAGGTGATCTCAGGGGACTGGGCTACATTTACCCAGCTGGCCTTTAATTTAGCATAGTAAGTGATGCTAGGGAAGCAAGACTCGGTGGTGAAAAATGAAGATGAATATTTTTGGTACATGTAAGATTTGCAGGAGTCAGTTTATATTCTCACTCCACACATCCATCCATTCAACACACACTTAGGGGGCAGCCTAGAGCTGCACCAGCGCTGAGTTAGACTCTTAGGGAATAATAGCTCTGAGGCATGCAGACAGGGCCTAGGTCTCTGAGCCAGTAATTGGTAAATGCAGTGCTAGAGGCATCTGCAAAGCACTGTGGGAATGGGGGTAGGTGAGTCAGTCTCCTCTGGGAGTGTGTCACAGATGCAGTAACTTTTGTGGTTCTTAACCATAGTGTGAGTTTTCCAGATGAGGACAGGGACAGGTGATTTAGGGGAGGGAAACTTTGTGCAAAGGTCTTAATATATAAGAGGACAGAGAACACTTGGATAACTGCAAGAAATTGTATGTAATTGGAACAAAGGGTATTTACTGGGGAATACAGAGGGTAAAGCAAAAGACAGATCACAGCCTGAAGACCATGTGCCCTCTGGAAGGTTCTGATGTTGTCTCAGAACAGTGACTCAGAACAGAGTCATAATCCTCCTTGCTTTCCACAGTCCTCAAAGTTCATATCTCACCATGTTCCATAAGCATAAAGTAGGTCAAGAGAGTAGCAAGTGCTCATATGTTTACTTTAATTGGACTCTGTTTCTTATAAGGGAGAGAGACATTTGGTCTCAACCTCCCAGGGATAGCACTGCTCAAAAGTCCCAAAGAATTCAACAAATCTCAATCCTGAATTATTTTCCCCATTTGATCCATGAGCCTCTTCTTCAGAACCTTACAAAAAAGAAAGCCATCACCCCTTAGAAGAACACCTCTTTCTCTACCTGCCAACTAGCAGTGGTTATCCTGGGTCACCCAAAATGGTAGCTGAGGACTAAGCTGGTGGGCAGAAGGAAGGAGTAGCAGTATGTATCTCACTCACCTGAACTTCGATTTGGAGATCCGGTGGCTGAAAGAGAAAAAGGAAACATTACCAAAGGACATACACTCACTTTTCTCCATGTAGAGGATATTCAACAATCCCAGAGGAGTTTGGTGTCCTCAGGTAACTCTACATGGGCACTGGAAGGATGTGCCGGTGTGAATGAGAAGTTGGACAGAAAGAACACTATTTTGGGTATTTGAATGTGGAGATAAGGGTTGGCCCAGATGACACTTACTAATGTCTTCTAAGTACAGGTGATCCTCCCTGAAAAATGAGAGTCCCCTGTCCTCAGATCAACATGAGAACAGTAAGTTCCATGAGGAAAGGTTGGGAAGAGCTGCCTCTTGAGAAAAGCCTCAGAGGACAGGAAGGCCTCTCCTGCACATGGGAGAACCCCACCGCAGAAAAATCACAGGCAGGACACATCAGCACGGACCTCACTGCTGTTTGCCAGAAGACCTGCCAAAGCTGGGTTAGGAAGTGAGACCAGCAAAACGAGCCAGCTTGGGGTGGACAGGCTGCTAGGAACCTGTTCAAGAGCTGTAAGGACAGATGTTAAAGAATGAGCCACATCTTCTGAGGAGAAATCCAGAATGCTAATAGTCATGTGCAGCCCTGAAGACTGGGGGACTTTGGCCAGAAGCACAGAGTAGGTCTGCTGTGATGGATGCCTCAAAGGGTCATTCATTATATGGGTGGGGGGTTTTATGGAAAAGTGGGACCTTCAAGGAGATCATATAGATAAGGAGTCCAGGGGACACTGGGAGGGGACAGGAGGAAGGGAGAAGAAGGCAAGAGAGAGGTAATAAATGAGAAGCATGGAAGAGAGGAGTGGGAGAGGCAGAGGGAGAGGGGGAGAGAAGAGAGAGAGAAAAAAGAGAGAGAGAGAGGTTTTGTCAGAGTTTGTTTAAAATTTACAAATTATACTTTTATAAATTAAAAGAGGTTGGGGGAGGGAGGGAGAGGGAGGGGAGAGCTTGACTCTTAGCTTAATGCTAAGAGAAGGAAGTGAACACAGGCCAGACTGCAGGTGGACTGACACTCAGATGGACAAGCGGAAAGACTGTGCAAACGAAAGATGAAGAGATGGAGACAGTGGTAAGGGACAAGGAGCCATGTGGGGAGAAAACAGGGGAGGGGAGTCTGGGAGGCTATTGCTGCAAGTTGGTGCTGCTGTCCCAGCAGAGCACAAAGCAAGCTGTGTCACACAGCAGGAAAAAACCAACCCCTCTCGTTATTTTTTTATTTTAAAAAAATTAAACCAGAAGATGTGACAGGTGGCAAAGCCATCGTGCATGAGATAATGATATCTCTGGGGCACTGAGAATCAGAGCCAAGTGCCTTTACTGCTCAGAACCGTTAGCTAATGACCTTTTCCCACCCCAAAGACTGCCTGCTAGGACTGGAGGGTTTAATCACACGTTAACAAATGTATGGGAGGGGGACCAGGAGCCAAGGGCAGCATTTTCATTTAGAGCCACGTTTAATGGGGGAAACAAATGTTTTCCAGCTGCTAATAGGGTGATGGGGAACCCAGTGCACTGTCGTCTCCAGCAGTGCCACGCTGAGCTTGGGACCTTCAACATCTTTCCCAGGCTTGCTTTTGGGGTATCTGCCTCTCCTTGCTATTAAATAAAAGTCAAAGTGGGTAGCTATGGCCTTCAGCCTTAAGACTCTGTTTCTCTGGCGTGTGTGACAACGATGACCACTTGCCCTCCCTTTAAGTTTTCTCCTCACTTTTACTCCAAATGAGTCACAAGCAAAAGGGAGTTCTTAAGAGCTGTCATATGGGGAAACCTACATCTGAATGTCCACCTCCCTCGAGGAAATGACTCCGGGACATGGACTCAGGGAAGGATCAGGGCTGGGGTGACTCTTTATAATGAGGTCCCAGTTCATGCACCGTCATTGACTATGGGTCCTTTCCTGGCTTCCTGGTGTACCATGAACAAGCAGGAACGGAATAGGACTTTCTTGCCTGCTTAATTCCAAATCTTGATGTAGAAGCTTGGACACCAACTTGAAGACTGGCTTTCTTCTTGTTGTTTTGAGGGGGGTTGTGAGCATAATTTTAGGTTCTGTGAATCTGAAATATTCACCCTTTTTAAATATTGGCACATTTTATAATTGATCAGTAGAAACACTCAGCCCCAGGTTACTTAGGCACCTGTGCTGAAGAAGGGGGGGGGTACTGCTCAAGGGGCATTTGTCTGGAGACAAGAAAAACTTCAGCTCTCTCTCTTAGAGAGCTGGATTAGAACTTTTTGAAAGTCTAAGGGCCTTGATTACTCTGTACTCCCTCTGTACAGAGGGCAGTTGAACATGGAACCTCAGTTCACGAAAATAGAGGGACACCATTGCTTGGCAGTCTTCTGCCTCCTGGGTAGTAGCCAAGGGCTGGATGTTTGAACAGCTGCTTCCTTTGTGTGAGTAACTGAGCTAAGGGGTCGTGGGTGCCACCACTCCCTATCCTGGGCTGGGTAGCCTGTGCAAATGCTGTCTCCTACTGTCTCCCCAGGTTCCAAACAGTCCTTAGAACAGTAGAAGACTCCAGCTTCCCCAAGCTCCAATGGGTCATGTGTGACATGCTAAGAAGTCTTCTTGGTTTCTCCATCATTAATAATCTAGCGAGGTGCATCTCCCTTCTCACGTTTTCAGTGGGCTTGTGAAGAAGAACAAGGAGGCAGAGAAAGTCAGTAACTTACACATGAAAGCGGTACTTCACTGGATAGAAACCAAAGTTCATTCAAGCCAAGACACTTGCTCTGTTCAGGCCTCCAGAACAAACCTTCTAGGAGATCATGATTTTCTTCTCTGATGTTGAGGTTCAAATCCAAAACATTTTCTCTCCACTCCCCTCTGGGCGTAGTTATTCAATTTGCATTTGTCATTATTTGACAAATATTTGAACTTCTCAGGAGCTATTTATATTTCCAGCCTCTCTCCCTTTCTTTGAGTAATGAGCACCATATGTTTACTACCTGCTGTGTGAAATACTATTTCCCTGAATTGTGCCCAATTTGCCTTTAACATAAGTCAGATGGCACGCAGTCATCTCCACTTGGACAGAACTCTGACTCAGCCTCCTTAACTCCAAAACTTTGTCACCAGCACATGAATTCAATATCACCACATCTCAGGCCTGAGCCTCCTCCCTTTCATAGCAACCAATCTTCGCCCAATTGCTCAACCTTCCTCCGAGACTCCCAGACTGATACCAGACTTGACTTCTTGTGCTTGGCTTCATGTCTATGTCACCCCAAATACAAGGCTGAGTCCATACCACCTAGCCTTTGGTTGGGGCTGTGTGGCTAAACTCCACCTCTTTCTGTCTCTAGCATTAGGAGGCTACCCCATTTGCCAAAAAATTGTGGAATTGTTCTGTGAAGCTGACTCCATATTGATGATGTTGGTCTTCACCAGAGCTTTGGCGTCACTCAGTAATCTCTTAGTCATCCCTCGATGATTCACAAGTTTGAACCTCCTGCACTGTCCTTCAAGGTCCTACAACACATCACTCTGTGATGAGATGATGGAGATATTTGGTGTAGTGCCCCCTCACCAACCCTCTTCATCACAGCCTGCTTCTGATTCTATATTCTTCATAGAACCTTAGGCTTTGAGAGCTGGAAGGAATCTCTGGTATCACGCAGACCTTTGGCGTGTGATTTCTTATCTGTGTAAATTTACTCATGTGAGATTTGACAGAGGACCCCAATTTGTCAAAGAAATGAAAGTGGCCCCTGTATGTGGTGTCAGCCCCTTCTGGCTTTGCTGAGAGTAATGGTCCATCCAGCCCTCTGTTTCTAGAAGAAGGTGCTGAGACTCAGAGCAGAGTACTTTAGCTAAGGCAACAAGGCTGCTCTCTAGTGGCTGATGGGGACTAGATGCCAGGACTCGAGATGCCAGGTAGGGTACCTCCCTCTGTGCGCATTCAGCATCTCCACCTGCATCTTGAAGTCAACCCTCCCCTCTTCTTAAGAAATTTCTTCTATAAGTGCTCATTTCCTCTCCAGCTTCTTTAGTCTTTTCCTTTCCAGTGGCTTCTTCTTTGTCTCAAAGATGGCCCCAACGATGACAAAGTCAGCCCTCCACTTTCCATCGCAGCCTCCTCTCCCCCTTCGGTGGTCTCACTTTTTGAGTGGGTGCTCCATGCTGGCACATTTCTACCCCTCTTTCCCCAAGACCAACTCCCACCATCAGTGCACCCTCAAACCCCAGAGAGCAGAGCTCCAGGACATGCTGACCACCCTGACCATCCACCTCTGTTTGCATCTCCACATCTGGCCCGAGCCACCATATGCTGGAACCTGTGTAGACATGACCACTTCACTCACATGTCAATTCCTCCTATTCTTTTCCTAACACTGAAGTGAAATGTCAAGAATACAGAGCCAACCAAATTAACCTCCTTACCCAGCTTCACATTCCTAAAACCTTTCAATGACTTCTCACACTTTTGTGGCAATGACCAAACTCATTAAGGGTCCTATTCTCCCCTGCCCTATCTCGTGCCTTATCGTCTTCTGTCCTCCCACATATGCAATCACTATGCCCAAGGACCTGGGAACATGCCTGATTGAAATACTACTAGTCCCTACTCTTTATGTTCACCCTTCCAGTCTCAATTTAAATTTTAATTATTCAAAAAATATTTCCTAACTCTCTACTCTAAATCAGGACCCTTTGTTATTGAACCTGCATTACTTTTACTTTTCCTTCTTCATGTCTATCCCAATTTAGAATCACTCATTTATTTATTGAGTGTCCTTTATACACTAGATTGTCAGCTCCACTGAGGTGGCTTCAGTTTTTTCTATGGTTACAGATCACCATTGCCCAGCAGTAGGCTGGGTACACTGTCAGATAGAGATTCAAATAGCTCAAATCCAAATGGGTCCTCAAATTCCTCTTCCCTCAGTTCCCAGGCCAATGCTGTTGTCTGTTCTACCACAGAAATGTCCATTTTGTTTTCTTCTTCCTATTCTGTGTTCCCCAAGATTCAGCCCTTGGCCTCCTGCTTTCTATTCTTTTGTGAACCCTTATGCTGTTACCTCACTGCTAGTTCTACACTGATAACTTCAGATGTGTGCCTCCAGCTCTGCTCAGAGCTGAGCTGTGGATCTCCTTATCCTACTGTCTATGTGATACCAGCAGATCCATTTTTCTTTTCAAACTTTGATGGCCCCATTCTCTTCATCATCTCCTTTGTTCAACTGGCCCCTCCCCAACAAAGTATCAGATTCTCTCCGGCCCTCTGGCCCCCATAGGAACCACCTTTACCCAGGCCTCATCTTACCTCATCTTATTATAAGAGACTTAGCTTTAAAAATGCTGGGCTCTTGCTGTCTCTTCAGGCTCCTACTGTTCTCATATTATTTCTCCCATAAGAAACATTGGCAGAGTCTTATCCCAACATTGACTGTGGTGGGGTGGGGTGGGGAGGCAGAGAGATGAGGAAAGACCATAATCTATTAAGTGCATATTATAATTCTGGCACTGTGCTTGGGTATTTTGTATGCACAGAGTAGATGCCTCAATGTGGACATGCACAGGAATAGCAGCAACCATTTCTATAGAACTCTTGAAGACTGCCGAGTGTATTCTCCAAAGATATGACAGATAGATTAGAGATTGCCAGCCTCCTTCTACGGGGGATAAATCATGTTCTCCTTCCAACAGAGCCTCACATGCTCCTAAAATGAACTGTAAGTGACTTCCCAGTGACAGGTTCCTGGTTCCTCCTGGTCTGCAACGGGCCATGCCCAAATGCCAGAGTTGCAGGGTCCTAGATCATTTTCTCTCCAATCCTTCTCTTGGTGTCCACATAACAGAAAGGTCTGGAATTTATGGATTCAAAGCCTTTCTCCAGTGTTGCTGTCTGGGGCCCACTTCCAAAAACTCAAGGGCTCATTTTGTATGATTCCAAATGAAGAGAAGAGGAAAAAGGCTTGGACTGCTGCTTTAAAAATGTAATTAGCATCGTATTTTAACAACATTTTGACAATAATTGCTTCCCAACAATGCTGAGAAATCTGCAATGCAGACTCCCCGGTGCCACTGTCAGATGAGCGTTACTGAAGCTCCATGCACCCTGAAAACAGGCTGTAGAGCTGGTCTGGTCCTCAACCTCATTTTCCCTTCTCTATCTTTGGCTTGAAGGCCATTCTCAAGACTGAGTTGTTGTGATCAGGGTCACCTGCAGCTCACCTTTTAAAAAGGACTAGGGTTTGTCCCAGCTACTGAGTCAGGCCAGAGAGGAAGGTGCTATTCTGCTGATGCAGCAATTTAGAAAGACATCTTATTTGGGACTGGTCCTTCTCAGAGCCTTCTGTTTGCAGTTCTTTCCATTGACCACCATGAGTTTACAGCTCTTATATTACAAGGTAACAAGAAAAACAGTCTCTATCTCCCAAAGAGGGGGATGCCTAAATGGTCTCAGAGGCCTCATGCTCAAGGTCAATATGACTACCTGATGACATGTTTTCAATTTTCACTTGGACTTCCGAGGTACTGGTAATTAAAACAAAGGAGGTTTTTGTTTGCTTGTTTTTAGCAATTAAACCATTCCCCCCCCCCTTTTTTTTTTGGTTGGGGAGGACATTGAACATGAATGACTGGTTTCTACTTTTAAGATTATGATAATCCAGAAATGAGCAATGCCCCTAGAGCTGCTCCATCACACCTGGCCCAGTTCTGGGTCAAAGTCAGCTCCCAGAAGCCAGCGATTGGGATTTGACTCAGAAAGCAGGTAGGGAAACATCTAAGCACTGACTTTTGTTGGAGGCGGCCAACATAAGGCTAAACACAAGTGAGCTCTTACTTATTCAAGGTGGTGCTTCAGGCACTTGATTCCCTTCATTAGAAGGATAACTTAGCATTGTCCATGAGGACCCAAAATATATCATGTAGTGGGATAGTTTCTTCCTTGTTTGTATTTCTTCCAGGCCACATTTATTAGAATAGAAGCGTGGGTCCCAGGGAACCTAAACTACCATCTCTTGTGTGTAAGGTTATGAGAGGAAATGGAGAGAAGCAAAGTCTGTTTGCTCCCTCCCTATTCTGTATTTCTCTGAAAAGATGAGTTGGGCTCAAAATCTGAGAGTCAACCCCTCACAGAAGAGCTGAGCTGAAGACTTCAATTTTTGGACTCATTCCCATCCATGTCTGGGGCTATACTCCACCCCAGGGCCCTCTTCTCTCCATACAGGCTGTCACCTGAGGTTCATGTTCTAGTCTCTGCCCCTCCAGTGATGAGCCTACCCATCCTGACTTTAGGAGCCGTCTTCCTGCCCGCACCCCAGGAAAATCCCCAAGTGCCTGGGTGCGCCGTGCCTACTCACGCCAGCCTGGCCCCGCAGTTTTCTCCTTCGATGTCACCTCCAGCCACATTTTCGGTGTTGACAGACTCAGTCTCACTTGTGGGCATGCTCACTGCAAGAGCCAAAGGACACAGGGCAAGGCATTGGGGGTGGGAAAAGAAAAGGGAACAGAAGAGCATTAGTGTGTGACACACAATCCTGGCTGGGAGGAAGGCGCCTGAGCCATCTGCTGGCCCCTCTGTGGGATCCAGGCCAGCTTCAGGAGTTTCCTTGACTGATTACCTGCTGCTTGTCTAGGGAATATCTTGCTGCCGAGGACACAGTTAACTAGTGGGAATGTGGGAGGGAATCTGGCAAACAGATCATTTTACCCTAGAAGACACATCTGGTCAGCCACTGAATCTTTTCTCTACCCTCAAACCTGCGGCCCCAGAATAGCTGTGGAAGCTTTCCATTTGCATCTGATATTCGCCATAAAGAGGAGTTTTCATGAAAAGACTTTTTCCTCCCTCCTTTCCACCCATCAATTCTAAGGGGCTCCATTCTCAAGATCGGGGTCCAGCTTTTATTTGTAGAAAGGACATTTTTGATGCTGCAGGAACTACCAGATAGATCTGAGGACTTCCTTATTCTGGCAGTGCACGCTGATCCTGAGTCCATGACACTCAGGATGGTACCTGAAATGGCAAACTGTAAGTGGATTGGCACTACCAGAGTCATGTACTGAGACTCACACTAGCATCATAGACATTAGGAATGGAGGTGCTGGAGTGTGAAACCCACAGAATTAAGTTTAAGTATGGCCTGAGGACAATCTGCAGGGATACCAACCCCCAACCCTGCTTCCAGTAATCCTGACATCCCCATTCCAACAGGTTAAACCATCTAATTCCACAAGAGCCAACCTTGGCAGCTTAGAAGAAGCCATTTCTTTTATTGTTGTTTATTATTCTACATTAAAGTTTGACTCAAAGAATTCTGGCATCTTCTGTCACCTTTTTAATATGACATAAGATTCTTAATTTAGGCAATGCTAGTTCTTTAGGATAGCTGGTTCAGCTCTTCCAGATTTTCTCATCTGGTGAGAAAATCACTAGCCCTCATCAGCCACAGAATCTGCAATTAGTGAGGGTGTGACATTGGGTGACAAGTCTCCACAGGGCTGCCACAGATCAGGAAATGACTTCTGGTGGTTATATAGATAATACTATCAGGCCTTGACTTTCCTCGGTTTCTTTTCTTTTGGATGAAGACAAGCCAAGTGGGTGAGAAGAGACTCATTTCAAGAACATTGGAAGATACAAACATAAAGTCCATGACTTGCCATATGCTTGACTGTCAGGTAGAAAAGACATCTCCAACCTAGGACTCCCTTTCAATAAAGTTGGGTAAAAAGAAATCCAGGTTGTGTTTTTAGCTCTAACACATCCCCTCATTTAACAGGAGAGGCACATGAGGCCTAGAGGAGGAATGTGATGTCCAGGGTCACATGGTGTGTTTGGGACAGGACTGGGACCAGAGCACAGGTGTCAGGCCCCCATATCATGCTCATCTTGATTTTCCTGGTGTTGACCAACCCCCTGCTCTACATCCTACAGCAGGGAATGGCGCCACAGTAGTGCTGAGTTGTAAAGCATTTACATTCACTTTATAGCTCCAGATCAGAGGGAGCTGGTGGAAGCAGACCTTGAGTCTGGTTTTACCACTGGGAGCTTGGAAGACAGACCTTCAGAGCTTTCTAAAGTCCTTGCTTGGTCCATGCTAAGGAAGAAGTCATAAAATTGAGGAACCTCGAGTCTTTCTATGCATTTATGTCCATCCATCTCTAACCACAGGCTCCTTTAACACTCCAGGCATCATTGTTGGGAGGACTAAGCTGTGTGTGGAAAGACACCTGACTGTGGGGCACCTGACTCCCAGAGAAGCCCTTATGTACATGTGGAGTGTGACAATGGTGGTGCGAGGCTTGGAAAGACAACAGTAGTAGTAGGCAGTCCTGGGTCTTAGGAGTAAGTATATCATTTTCCAAATCAAGGCACTGCCTGCACCAGTATCAGTTTTGCATTTGCAGTGGCCTTGATCTTAGCTGACACTATCCAAAGGAAGGGCTGGCTCCACCCAGGAGTAGCTGCTGCTGGGTGTCTGCTGACTTTAGACACAGGAAGAGGTGATGAGCCAGTGGCTTTGAGATGAACAAGTTCCCATCCCCTCACAAAAACATACGTATGTACAAACACATACACACAAATACATATACACATGTGCGCACATACACGACTACCACATCACAAGCCATCAAGAGAAACACCCTCCCATCCTGTCTGGTGTGGACCAACACATACACACACAAAGAGCACAGGGGCACATTACCATGGGTTTCTGTGGAGTGACTAAACCAAGCAAACTTCCCTTTCTTCTGATCAAGCAAGCCCGCTGGAGTGCCTCCTTTCACAGACAAGATGGTCAGTGTCAAGAACCAGGAACAAGACATCAATAGAGAACATGCAGTCAGCCATGGGCAAAAGAAAGAAACAGGAACTCAGCTTCCACATAGAGCATCCATTTTCATCTCCAAAAATTAACCAAAAATAAATAAACACATATATAAATAAAAGTAATAGACCAAAACATATAAGAAAATATGGCAAAATAGAACCAAAACCCCAAATCACATAAATTAACAACACAAAACAAATGGTGAGCTATGAGTAAAACCAATGCTATCCTTCATATCTACTTTGGCTTCAGTCTGCATGGGTACATCTAATGAGTGACCCCGATGTGAGGACTTCCCGGGAGGGGACTGCAAATCATCCCTGCTGCCTGCTTAGGGGGGTGCCCCTCTCACAGGCTCAAGTAGGGAAACCGTTAACAGCAAACTGAAGCACTGGCCTCCACCTTCACCCACACCCACTGGCCAGTCTTCTGTATTCTCCTCCACGTGGGACCATGTCATGAAACTCCCACCTGTAGTGCACTCCAGGGCTCCCTAACCACCCACAGCTGGATGTGCCACTTACAGGTGGAAAAACGACCTGTTGACTTACTTTCCCCTTCATCCAGTTAAATCATTGTGTTCTCTTCAGTGAAGATCATCAATTGACTTACTCCGATCACATCCAAAAACATATATGTATTTGTTTATATTTCTTTTCACAAATTTTATTTTTATTGTTCTTTGAGCAATATATATTCATTTTATGCATTTCTTTCTTTCTTTTTTTTTGGAACTGGGGATCGAACCCAAAGCTTGTGAATGTGAGGCAAATGCTTTGCTACTGAGCTATGTCCCAGCCCCATTTTACACTCCTTTTGAATGAGCAATGCATTTCGTTTTTTGTTTTCTTTTAAAGGGAGTTAATCTGAGAGTCTACTTTAATATAGAGTAGCTAAATTACCTTTTGTGTCTACTTTTATTTACTTTTAAAAGTCTGCCATAGGGTAATACAGTATTTTATTTATTCTGTCTATTAGTAACTAATATTTGAAGACATTTACAATATTAATGGAACTTTGCCTAAGAGAAGAATGATTTTCATTTTTTTACATCTTAATACTGGGCTTTAAAAGAGAAAATTATATAATTATGGTCAAAATTATTTTGTCAAAAACTTATAATGCTTGGTGTTAGCATGTTTATGCATAACTCAGTTTTTGTTGTGAAGTTCTTTGGCTGCAAGAAAGAGAAGCAAAGAGAAAGATTGTTTCCGACTTTCTTATTTCACTGGTACCAGGTACTATGGACCAAATGTGGGTTTCTGGGCTGTCATGTCCCTTGGCTTCTCAACATTGCATTTTTAGTAATATCATCAATGGCTAAAAGAGATGTATAGACTCCATCTTTTTTCTTTTTCTTTCTTTCCTTTTCATTTAACAAATAAGGTTTTTCTATGTTGCCCAGGCTGACCCCAAACTCCTGGACTCAAGGGATCCTCCTGCCTCAGCTTTTCTAGTTGCAGGGAGCAACCATGCCCAGCAGAAACTCCATCTTGCCCAAAATCAATTACATCCTTGAATTAATCATTCCCTCCCTCTCCCGAAACATCTACTTTTGGTGGCCACTCCTGCTTAAGTGGTACTTAGTAAGGCTATATGTATAGAAATAGGGGTGCACAGCTATCGTCTCTCCCTGGTCTGCTTGGAAAACAGTTGTGTGCATACTGATCCCCTGACACTAGAAACCACACAGATCAACCCGTGATTTGGGGAAGGAGCATTAGCTCTAGGCACGGTCAAGTTTGGCATTCCTTGGTATGTCTGGGTTTGTAACTCCTGAGGGTTTATACACCTGATTGAGGGAATCTCCCATGAAACACCAGGTGATGTTTAGGCAGCCAGTTGGCCTGGCTGTCTGCAGCTGTGGTCACCAGATAAAGAGGCTCACAACACACCATCCTTATTTTCCCCTGTAGGAACTGAACTCTCTGTAAAACTAATGACTGACTCTGGACAACTCCTTCAATTACCTAAAATAAATCTCCTCATGGTGGCTCTGCTCCAGGCTGGGCCAGGACATCAACCCCTATATTTTCCTTAAAAAGGAATCAGGTCTCACTTAGCTCCCACGATGACCACATGACATAAGGTGTGTGTCCAAAATGACCAAACCCATCCGTGTGAATAAAAAATGACTCTGGAAGGGGTTTTAGTAAGCGTTTTGAGAGAGCAATTTGTGTTTTGATAAAGAAGAAAAAAGTCACTAAGATTACCTGGCAATAAATCACAAAGGAAATAGCAAACAAAATCTTCTAGGCAATCCTCCCTTTTCTCTCCCTTTCTCCCTTCCTTCCCTTCCTGGAAGCTGGAGGGAAATATGTGGAGGACCATCTGCATCTGAAATATGCGCCTGCCCTGTCTTTCTGGATCCTGACTCCTGGAGAGGCATCACAGCAAAATTACATGTGGGAAAAGGAGGGATGAATTTGAGGAGAGGTGGTGAAATCTGCCTCGTTCTGAAAACTCTGGTTACCCAAAACAGCTCTGGCTTTGTCCCAGGGATGGGGCATTGGGAAGACCTTATGTGGCAGCTGGTAGGAATAGCTGGATATTTGCTAAGAGAAATGCCCAGTTTTCATTATTCACAACAGCTGGTAGCCTGTTACCCAAGCTCAGAGAACATCCACTACTGTCCACCTTTTAGCTCCCCTGTTGGGAGGGGGTTGAGGCATCAGGACCAGGCACCCCTAGCAGCAGCTGGAGTGGAAGCTGAAGGAGCTGAAGGCGTTTCTCACCCAACCTGAACATCCGTGGTGTGTGGTAGATGCTATAAGGAGCCAAGGCTGAGTCCTGGGACAGCCAGCCTTCTGGGACCCTATTGCCGAGGCTCCCATGCTCTTCTGATGGAACCTGGCCTGCTTACTTGGGCAGATGCCCCTTTTATGATATGAGTATATAACTAGTGTTTGTTTTCTCAAAGTACTAATCAGAATTATAATCAAGCAAAAGAAATCCAATTTCCTGCCTCACTCACTGTAATCTGAAATCCAAAATTCCCTATAGTTTGGCCATCCTGTCTGTTATAGATTGAATTATGTCTCCCAGAATTCACACATCCTAAAGCCCTGTACTTTGGAATGTGACTGTATTTGGAGATAGGGTCTTAAAGAAGTAATTAAACTACACTGAGGTCACAAGGGTGGGCTCCAATCTAATATAATTGGCATCCTTATAAGAAGAAATTTGGACACAGACACATACCTAGGGAAGACCTCATGAAGACTCGGGAGAAGACAGCCATCTTTAAGCCAAGAGCACACAGGCCTAGAACTGATCCTTGCCTCACGGCTCATGAGGAACCAACCTCACTTGCACCTTGATCTCAGACTTCTGGCTCTAGGACTGTGAGAAAATCGTTGTCTGTTGCTGAAGTCTGTGGCACTGTATTAGGCAGCCCCAGGGGATTAAAGTGTTATCTCTCCACCCTCATTTCCTGTTGCTTCCTGCAGAAACTCTCCAGCCAATCAGGCTGCACTCCTCATTGTCCCTTGACTGTACCATCTTTATTCCAACTCTGGGCTTTTGTTCACATGGTGTCATATACCGTGTCTTCTCCCTGGAGTGCCTGACCCTCTCCTCTCACCTAGCAGGAGTCAGCAAACTTCCATTCTACAGACCAGAGCTGCAGAGCTGCAGGAAAGAACTAAACTGTGGGAACTGAAAAAGCCTAAAAATGTTTACTGCCTGACCCTTCATAGAAAGAGTTGGCTAATCCCTGATCTATTCAAATCTCATCCGTTCCTGGAGGCCCTAGTTCTAGTCTGTAGCAGCTTCCAGAACCCTCCATTGCCCACTACGTCCCCTCTTCTGATCTCCTGAAACACTGGGATCTGAGAATTTTTATGGTTTTTTTTACTTTTTTTTTTTTTTTTTTTTAGTTACACGTGACAGTAGAAGCCATTTTGATAAAATTACATAAGCATGGGATATATCTTATTCTAATTAGGACCCATTCTTGGGCATCTGAGAAGTTTAAGCAAAAACCTGGAATCAAGTTTTAGATGCAGTCTCTCCCAGCCAAGTGACTGGGTAAGTGACTTAATCTTTCTGAACCCAAGTTCTCTCATCTATAAAAAGGAGACAATGATATTATTTACTCCAAGAGCTTTGGGTAAGGGTTAAGTGGAATAATATTTGTAAAAATAAATTTGTAAAATGGCTAGTATATAAACATTTGCTAATATTAAAACTAAATTTAAACTTTTTTTCTTAAAGTTTGTTTTATTTCACAGAATTAGATTTGTCTCCCTGACTGAATTTTAATTTTCCAAGGCCACAGACTACCTTAGAATTCTGTGGGCTCCTTTTCTGATCCTGAGAAACTATAGTCACAACACCTTACATCTCCATGGAATTTTAATATGTTCCCTATATATCTTGTATTGTTCTCCATCCTTCCAAACCATGCCCTGTACCCTGGATTTGACCTCTGTAAACTGCATCAAGGAATTCTCCTTAACTGGGTCTCCTGCTGGGTTGGCCAATGGATGGGCCTGAGAAAGGGATGCTGGGCACTCACCCCTGGCTCCTGCATGTAGGGTTGGCGTAGATTGGCTGCATCTTGCTGCCAAAGGCCATGAGTCTGGTCACATGGCCCTCTCCCAAAGCTGCCTTCTGACTCTGAAAAATGCTCCCTCTCTTTGGACCTTCAGGCCTGTGGTGGTAACAGCTCCCATAGTTGCTACAACAGGGTGCTGCACTGTCCCTCCCTGACTTCCTCAAACCCTGCCTGCAACTTTATCTAATCCTCCTAACTCATCCAGTTTAACAGTACCCTCTGTTCTCGTGAGGACCCTGACAGAATGGTCCTTCTGGAGCAGGAAGGCATATGTCATTATTCTCATTCACCACCAACTTGAAGTTAGGTGCTTAAGGTTAGATCTAGTATGTGGTAGAGAATATCTAATTCTGGGTCCAGGGCTCTCCTGGCCATGTTAGGCAACCTCTGG